CATCAATCGAGAGGACCATGTGGTTCTTCTGTCTTTGCTTATTGATTTGTTCTATCACATTGGTTGATTTGTGAATGTTGAACCACCCTTGCATCCCAGGGATGCATCCCATGGTGAATAATCTTTTTAATGTACTGTTGGATCCTATCAGCTAGGATCTTACTGAGAATCTTGGCATCCATATTCATCAGGGATATTGGTCTGAAATTCTTTTTGATGGGGTCTTTGCCTGGTTTGGGGATCAGGGTAATGCTGACTTCATAGAAAGAGTCTGAAGTTTTCCTTCTGTTTCTATTTTTGAAACAGCTTCAGGAGAATAGGTATTATTTCTGCTTTGAATGTTTGGTAGAATTCCCCAGGAAATCCAGGAAATTTGGGAGGTTTTTGATCACTGCTTCAATCTCGTTGCTAGATATTGGTCTATTCAGGTTATCGATTTCTTCCTGTTTCAGTCTTGGAAGTTTATAGGTTTCCAGGAATGCATCCATTTCTTCTAGTTTGCTTAACTTATTGGCATATAACTGTTGATAGTAATTTCTTATATTGTTTCTATTTCCTTGGTGTTAGTCATGATCTCTCCCCTTTCATTCATAATTTTATTAATTTCGGTCCTCTCTCTTTTCTTTTCAATTAGTTCGGCCAGTGTTTTATCAATCTTACTGATTCTTTCAAAGAACCAGCTTCTAGTTTTGTTAATGTGTTTACTGTATCTCTAGTTTCTAACTCATTGATCTCTGCTCTAATTTTGGTTAGAGGGTAGTAGAGTTCTTAACCCTGGAGGGACATTAGTATATCTGGGGAGATTTTACAAAGTATTGTTGCCCTACACTAGTATCTGTTCATACAAGTTAGAAAAGCAGTTACTCTTAGAGGGTGAGGGGAGTGAGATGGGCAAGAGGGAGATTTCTGTGTGATAGAATTTTCTGTTTCTTGATCTGGATGATGGGTATGAGTATATATGGTTTGTAAAAATTTAGCAAGCTGTATAATTATGATATGTGCACTGTGAAATAGAGCTAAGACAAATATATTCTGTATGTATAACATACTTTAATTAAAAGCTAAAAAGTTAAAGAGGAGGATGTGTCCAGGTTTTCCTTCAGACCAAATGATTCAGAATCTGTGGAGATGGGGCCTAGCTATCAGTATTTCTTTGAATGTTCCCCCAGGGAATCTAACAGAAAGTTGGGAATGAAAAACCATTCCTCTAATATCCTCCATCACAGATATATTTATTCATTTATTAATCTACTCATACAAACTTTAAGGACCATCTACTTACTATACTATACTCAGGATGTAAAGATAAAAAGGACACAGGGCACCTGGGTGGCTTAGTCAGTTAAGCGTCTGCCTTCGGCTCAGGCCATGATCCCAAGGTTCTGGGATTGAGCCCCACGTCAGGCTCGCTGCTTGGTGGGGAGTCTGCTTCTCCCTGTCACTCTCACCCTCACCTGCTCGTTCTCTCTCTCAAATAAATAAAAACTTTTTTAAAAGAAAAGATAAAAAAGGATATAATCTCTGAAGAAATTTAATCTAGGCAAGGGATAGATAGGTAAACCAGTAAATCCCATATGATAAATACAAGCAAGTTACTTACAAGATCTAGAGGTGAAAGTGATTTGTTAAAGAAAAATTCAATCATTTTGATGTTGTTCATTCTTTTTTTTTTTTTTAAAGATTTTATTTATTTGACAGAGAGAGATCACAAGTAGGCAGAGAGGCAGGCAGAGAGAGAGGTGGAAGCAGGCTCCCCGCTGAGCAGAGAGCCCGATGCGGGACTCGATCCCAGGACCCCGAGATCATGACCTGAGCCGAAGGCAGCGGACCAACCCACTGAGCCACCCAGGCGCCCCTTGTTCATTCTTTTATACAAATATTTGGGTACCTATGATGTTTGGCCATGGAAAAACACAAACAAATGGTACAATTTCTGCCTTCGAGAAAGTTAACTTCAAGAAAAGTACGGAATAAGGGTACATAAGGAAGGAAATAAAGGTATAAGCTAACATCATACTATCAAAGACATGTAAGAAAGGTGTGATATGGGGGCGCCTGGGTGGCGCCCTTTGTCTGCCTTTGGCTCAGGTCATGATCTCAGGGTCCTGGGATCAAGTCCCGCATCAGGCTCCTGCTCCTCAGGAAGACTGCTTCTCCATCTCCCTCTCCCCCTGCTTGTATTCCCTCTCTCGCTGTGTCTATCTCTCTGTGTCAAATAAATAAATAAAATCTTAAAAATAAAATAAAATCTCCTTTAAAAAAAAAAAGGTGTAATATGTATACTCTAAGGAGTCAGAGATGGTACTACCAAGTTGCTGACCTTGGAGGTAAGATGATATATAAACTTGAACTAGTCCAGTAACAGGGGAATTAAAAATTAGTATTCTAGAAGAGTGTTTCTCAAAAGTTAGTATGCATACAGATTAGCTGGGATTCTTGTAAAATGCAGATTGATTCCTCAAGTGTGGGACAGAGCTTGAAACTCAGTATTTCTAAATATTTCCCAAGTGATACTAATGTTACTAGTCTACAGATCCCAATTTAAGTAGCAAAGTTCTGCAACAAAATGGGTTTCAAGAGACAAGAGATAAAAAATGCCCAATATTCCACAGCAGAGACACCAAGAAAAACAAAAATTGCAAAGCAGCCATTAGATTTGCCAATTAGAAGGCCTTAGTGAGAGTATTTTCAGTGGAATGATGAGGGAGAATCTAACTGATGGGTATTTAGAAATAAATAGGAAGTAATAAGGTGGGAACAGGAAATAAAATGGAATAGTTTTGTTTGTTTTCACTCTTGAATGCTGGGAGAGGTTTAAGTCTATTCATAAGCTGAAGGAAAGGAACCAGTAAAGAGAGAAAACTAAAGATGGGAAAGAGGGTGGAATCACTTTGGGTAGAGAGATTCCTTTCCCTTTGCAACAGAGGAGAAGGAACTAAGGATTGGTCTCAAAGGGGCAGGGAGGGGAAAAGAAAAGAGTAAGTGGAAGGAGTTACTCTTATTTCGCAGTGCAGGAAGCCAGGTGTAGTATTGGAAATTGTTATTAAAGCCAATAAGATAGTAGAATTGAGGAATTAAGCACTTAAACATAACAACTATTTGTTTCATCTATTAAAAACTAAAAATGGGGGCATCTGGGTGATTCAGTTGGTTGAGCATCTGACTCTTGGTTTTGGCTCAGGTCATGATCTCAGGGTTTTGAGATAGAGCCCTGTGTCAGGCTCTGTGCTCAGCTTGGAGTCTGTTTGAGATTCATACTCTCCCTCTCCCTCTGCACCACCTCCCCATACATGTGCTCTTTCTCTCTCTCTAAATATAAATAAATCTTTTAAAAAAACCTGAAAATATATTTTTTGTCACATTATAAACCTAATCTTTAAAAAATTCATAGCTCTTAACAATCAGAAAATGCATATCTTGAATGAGAGAGAGAAAAAAATATATATTGATTGTATATGTAATCTGACTTAAAGTTACTGAGCTGATGTGATGTATAAGTGCTAAAATATTGTCAATAGTGGCCCAAAGGTAATCTACTATATTTAATTACTATTTCTGAATATAGAAGTTTATACTATCAGTGGGAATTTCTGGGAATTACTTTTCTGGTTACAAAAAGAAAAAATTAAGGGAGTGAAGCAATGAAAACATGGAAATGTTTTTTAAGTTTTTCTTTTTTTTAAAGTTTTTCTATATGAAACAGAAATAGAGAAAAAGAATATTGTTTATATTAGTTACATCTATTTTATCAACAGATGTGTATAATCCAAAAAAAATTTTTTTTAAGATTTTACTTATTTATTTGAGAGAGAAAGAACTAGTTGTGTGGGAAGGACAGAAGGAGAGGGATAAGGAGAAGCAGACACCCTGCTGAACGGGGAGCCCGACAAAGCTCTTGATCCCAGGACCCTGAGGTCATGACTCTGAGATACTTAACTGACAGAGCCACCCAGGTGCCCCGAAAACATTTTATAAAGCAATATTATTTAGGGGCACCTAGGTGGCCCATTCAGTCAGTTAAGCATCTGCCTTTGGCTTAGGTCGTGATCCCAGAGTCCTGGGATCGAGCCCCACATCAGGCTCCTTGTTGAGCAGAGAGTCTGTTTCTCACTCTCACTCTCTCTCTGTGGGCATGCTCTCTCTCTCTCTCTCTCAAATAAATAATAAAAATAAGATAGTTAAAGCAGTATTATCTAAATGTATACCATACAGCTGTAATAACAGAATCACAAAGGAGAGCTTTTCAATTAAACTGAACTTTAGGAGTCACAAAACTCAACAACTCTTTATCATCACACATTTGCTGACATTTCTTTCATGATACCACTGAGATTAGGAGAGGTATATAGTATGAATCAGACTTGAAAAGATATTTAAGAATGTTTTCAGGCCCATATACTTTCATAAGCAATTTTGACAAATTTTACTCACCTAAATCTGAGGACTTCTCTTTTCATTCTATAGAACACTCTGTTCATTTCATAGCCTTCCACATGTAATTAATATGTTGTTTACCCCATATATGAGAATTTACAGTGGCTTTTAAAGAAGAGATTAGAAAGAAATGAAGTAGAATTTGACTCAGGGGACCACTGCTATAAGTACTTTAAAACTGGTCTATTTTGGGACGCCTGGGTGGCTCAGTGGGTTAAAGCCTCTGCCTTCGGCCCAGGTCATGATCCCGGAGTCCTGGGATCGAGCCCCACATCGGGCTCTCTGCTCAGCGGGGAGCCTGCTTCCCCCTCTCTCTCTCTGCCCGCCTCTCTGCCTACTTGTGATCTCTCTCTGTCAAATAAATAAATAAAATCTTTAAAAAAAAACACAACAAAAAACTGGTCTATTTTAGGCCTCCAAATAGGCTAACACACAAATGGCATACATATCAAACATTATGAAAATAGTGCTAAAAAAATAAGATGAATAGAGGACTTCATACTAATTTAAAGTGAAGTCTAAAAAAGACAAACTGACACCTGTCAGACGCACAGTAATTGACTCACCTGCGGCTAACTGATTTCTTCACGTCTCCCTCTCCAGATGACTTAACATTTCCACCTGCGTCCTTTTTTAACTTTTTTGCAATTCGTTCTCTCATCAGATTCTTCTCATCACCATCAATATATTCATCATGCTCTGCACCTTCATATTCTCCATCCTGTAGAAATTGAAGTGGAATATTTGCCAGGCATCCCATTTCCCCTTAAACTTCCAGAGATCCATCCCAGACTCTCGTCATTGCATTCTATCTAGGCCAGTTTTGTTTTTTGTTTTCTTTTGTCTTGAATTAGTAGGGGCTTGAACAATCTGTTCCAGGTGGGAATACTCCTGGGGTCTGCTCTAGGCCAACTATGTAAGTATGGGATACCCAAATAAGGGGTGTTTGCTCACTGAACCCATAGCCCTTCTGTGCAACACGGGCTGTACTCCCTCTGTATCACCCAGGATATTGTGTCTATCTATATTCCTGTTCTTTCCCAGTTGGAAATGTGGCTTCTGCAGGCAGTTGGCCAGTATACTGACCTCAACTAGAGATTAATTCCAGTAGAATCAGGAGGTGGAGAAGCTGAGATTTCTTCCTATAATCTTAATTATACTGCCTACTCCTCTTCTTGGAATCCTCCAGTGGATCCCCAAATCACTTACAACCCTATACATTCTATACCTCCTGCACATAATTTCCCACAACTCCAGGCCAGCAACACCATTTTTCTAGGGAAAAATGTAGGATATAATCATAAGAATCACCAGTTAGAGCTGGTGTTCTTTCTATCTTGAAACACTCATATTCCACGTATCTGCATTGCCTGCCCTCTCATCACCTTCAAGTCTTTTTTTATCGCTTTAATACCTAATACAACTAATAAAGAAAGATCAACATAGTCTTGAAAGAGGATCTTCAGAATTGTGTATATAAAGCAATACTATAAATAACTAATCGAAGCATTTTCCCATACACCATGTAGGATACCCATGCATCAACATTTAAACTTTTAACATAATAAAATAAAATCAATGACATCTGAATTTTGAGTATTCAGGTAATGAGAGGGAGAAAAAACAGGTTAGAAATTCATAAACATGTAAGATTTCAATTTTGTAGGGAAATACACACACATCTACACATATGCTTGGAAGGAAATATTCCAATCAAAATAAATGATTTACTTCTCAGATTTTTAATTTTTTTTCAAAAATTTAAATATATAATTATAAATGTAACATATACTACCTTTTAAGAAAAATACTAAATTTTTATAAACATCTTGAATTTTCTATTAATTGTTCAAACTATATACTAAAGTTAATACTTACATTGGTTGAATCTCCTACTGCATCATCTTTTTCACTACAAAAGGAATGAAAACAGGAAAATTTTAGCCTCAAAGTGAAACTACTAAAATTATTCAAATTCTAGGATTATTCAAAATTTGAAATACTTTGTTAGGATTAATAGTTCAAAGACCTATCTCAACATAGGAATTTCAGAATGGAATTGTAGAACAAATAGAAACATTCTACAAGAGAGTCATTTTTACAAATAGAATAAGAACAATGCTCCATGAACACACATATAAATTAACTAGAATTAATGGGAAAAAAAAACAACAACCAACAGTGCTGCTTTTATGAACAAAGGGCTGCAGTGAACAATTTTTTCCATCAGCTTGATGTACTCTGGCAGAAAAAAAACAAATCCTTCAAATACAAGGATATTAAGAAAAGATTTTTTTTTTACATAGAATTTTTGAAAACAAACTAAACTCAATGCAAGAGTATTTTAATCCCCTTTGAGACACTGACCCAATATATCATGTGCAATTGTATTTAACAGAAGACATCTTCCCTTCTCCAAGAGAAGCAACAGGGATAGACATTTCCTGATAACTACCAAAATGTATAAGAAAGAACTACTCAATGGACTGGTTTAAAATGTGGTGACTTCTTCACAAAACGTTTCAACTCTGCCCTGTTTACCTATGGTACCAACAGGCACAAAAATGCTTTAAGGAGAAAGCTAACAAAGTAATTTTGAATTAAATATTAAACTTTTAAAGCAAACTGTTTCCTACTCAAACTATACCAAGATGTAAGTTAAGCAATTAATTTTAAATTTAATTAGCCCAGAAGAAAGAGATAGCAAGATGAAATGAAAGGAGCCAGAATGCTTCCCTCCATTATGCTAGAAGCTCTGTTACCTCCATCACCAAAATGCTTTCGTTATTTGTCTGAGTTTAAAAAAATTGCACTTAAGAGAACTGACCAGGGCGCTGGGTGGCTTAGTCAGTTAAGTGTCTGACTCTTGATTTTTGCTCAGGCTGTGATCTCAGGGTTGTGAGACTGAGCCCTGGGCTCTGCCCTCAGTGGGGAGTATGCTTGAGATTCTTCGCCCTCTCCCTCTACCACTCCCAACACCCATGGCACACACTCTCGCTCAAATAAATAAATTTTTTAAAAAAAGAGAGAGCAAACTGACTTTTTTCTTACAAAGGCAGCAAGAAAAAATCTGAGCCAGAGAATCATTTAGAATCACACTTGTAGCATACTAACCTTCCAACAGCTGGAACAGAACTGAGATGGGGATCATCCTTAAGCAAGTCATGACTACTTTTGCTTTTTCCCTTCATGCTCTAGGGAAAATGTAGGATATAATCATAAGAAGAAATAAGTTTTCCAAAAGAACAAGTTAACACATTTACATAAAATCTAGTACTGTTATAATATGGCTAGCAAAAGATACATGTTCCTGAAATTTTCAATATAAATTAAAGCTTTATAAATAAGAAGCTAACTCTCACACTGATTGAAAATACTTTTTTGGGGTGCCTGGGTGGCTCAGTAGGTTAAAGCCTCTGCCTTTGGATTGGGTCATGATCCCAGAGTCCTGGGATCGAGCCCGCATCGGGCTCTCTCCTCGGCAGGGAGCCTGCTTCCTCCTCTCTCTCTCTCTCTGCCTGCCTCTCTGCCTACTTGTGATCTCTCTCTGTCAAATAAATAAAATCTTTAAAAAAATTATTTTTTCTTCCTAAAAGTGATAAATCCTTCAAAATAAGTTTATTGATTACTATTTCCGAACACTATGATTGGTATGCTTTAGCTGTATGTATGATTTACATACATCTAAACTAATTCTTTGACCCAGATAGTAAAACTTAGAAGACAGTTCACAAGAGTAATTTGAAATAAATGCACACAATTGTTTTTCAAACACATGGGCTATGCTGCACAGAATTACATGTATACATGTATTCTGCTTCTCTGAAGAATCCTATTACATTCTTTGACCTGAAGCACAGACAGAAAAACTTAGAAACAAACAGATCTTATAGGCCACTTAATCTAGTCTCCCACCCAATGCAGGAATCTCCTTGACATCACTGCTAACTAGTCAGCCGGTGTTTTCAACACCTGAAAGGAGCTTTTCCTAAGGCATACACACAAATCACTCCTTTTCAAATGTTTTCTAAAGTTGGACAGTTCTCTCTGTAATTAGAGACAAAAAAAAAAAAAAAAAAAATCTATGTGTAATTTCCAACCATCCAACCAATCCTAGTTCTACCTTCTAGAACTACAGAGAGCTTAGTTTAAATACAAAGAGACTGGTAGGTATAATAATGGCCCCCTAAAGATGTCCACGTCCTAGTTCTCAAAACCTGTAACTATGTTACCTTACATGGCAAAAGGGACTTTGCAGATAAATTAAGGATTCTGAGATGAGGAGACTATCCTGGATTGTCAGAGTATATCCAGTGTTATCACAAAAGTCCTTACAAGTAAAAGAGGGAGGCAGGAGAGTCTGTTTCATAAAGATAAACCATGAGAAAGATGCTATGGTCTATTGTTAGCTTTGAAGATGGAAGAAGGGGCCATAAGCCAAGGAATGCAAATGGGCTCTAGAAGTTGGAAAAGTTAAGGGAAGAGATTCTCTCCAGAGCCTTCAGAAGGAAGGCAGCCCCGCCAATACCCCAATATGGAGCCAAGTGAAACCTGCTTTGGACTTCTGACCTCCAGAACTGTAACATATTAAATTTGTTTTGCTTCAGGCCACTAAATTATGGTAATTAGTTACAGCAGAAATATGAGACAAACATAAATATATTAACATCTTTTTAAAATTACTTAAACAATTAGAAAGATTAAGTTTAATACAATTTAATGAGGCAGAAACAGTTTATAAATTAGACTGTTCAACACTTCTTACAACCTCTGTGCAAAAGGCCTAGTGGCACTCTTCATGCCATGTCTACCACTTCCTCTCCCACCAATCCTAACCTCCTGGGAAAGCTTAATTTCTTGGACTAAACAAGAATATGACAAAATATTCTTACTTTATTTTCAAAAGCAGTGTATTTGTCTATCAATATAACTTTTTTGGAGTGAGAAAAAAGCCTTCTTATAACTTGGGATTTGAGGTAAAAATGTTGGCATACCTTGCAGTGAGAGAAATACTATGTGTATCACTGTAAATGTGGCACAACTTAATCAGTATTTTTAAATCTAGCTCTTGCAATACTTTTATAATGGACCTACCATTTAACCTGCCTCATGAAAACTACTTGTCTGATTGTAAGCTCTCACTTGAAAAATATTTTCTGACATCTGTTTTTAAGTTATATACAAAGATTCAGGAGTAACCTTTAAACCAGTGGAGACATTTGAATAAAACTATCATTTAAGAAGCAAAATGAAAGGAGGGATCTTCCATAAAAACTTTTCGAATGTCTGAAGCCTAGGATCATATTTTTACTTAGCTTTTATTTCTCCAAAGTATATCTAGTTCCTCAAGCATTCTCCATGTGGAGGGATTCTTGGCTTTATCACCATCCTCCTCATGATCCTCCCTTCCTCTGAATGCATCTAATTTGTCAGTTTCTTTCTTTCTTGCCCTTTCTCTCTCTCCCTCTTTCTCTTTCCTTTTCTTTGTCAGTATCCTTCTTAAATGTGTTCTGAACTGAACAAAATGCTATAAACGTGACCACCCAAAATGCAAAGAATGTTAAATTTCTTATTCCAAAGACCTTACTCTTAATAATTCAACTAGGGCTTACAGGCTATTAAGTCTTATACCTATTCAGCTGATTGCATTAAACTCAAGTATAGAATTTACATGTACTCCTATTACACTTTAACTGACTAGTTCAAATAATCATGCACAGGTTGACAACAAAGCACTCTTTGGGCAGAAGTATTCAATCAGATATAAATCCATCTGACTATACTATCTCCCAGATCACATTTCCTCATGTTGTCCACAAGACTATGATGAGAGACTCTGACAATGTACTCTCTGGAACTCAAAATATGTTATTATGGCATCATTCTATCATGCAATCCTATCAAAAAGGAAATTAAGTCAGTCTGGCAAGTCACTTAACCAGAGTCTCAGTTTCCTCATCTATAAAGCAAGGAAGTTGGACTAGATCCCTTTGAGCTATAAAATTCTATTATTCTAAAAGAGATTTTATCAGGTAGTAGAAAGATACTGAAATAAATAAGGAAGGAAAGCTAACCCATGTGGGAGAGGTGCCTTGTCATGAATAAACGAGTGGGGTGAAGTAGTGTCTGTAATCCCACACTGATAATCCATAAACCAGAGGGCACTCTATCTTATTTCTCCTTTCACATAAAGCAAAGCCCCAATTCAGACTTTACCAATTATTAACTTGTGATGTTAGACAGGTTCTGGAATAAAGCTTAACATACTGTGGAGTCACTGAAAAAAGAAACTTGATAAGCAAATGAATAATGAAACAAATTATTTTTAAGACCTCTACAAATATTTAATTTCATGCAAGCCCTGAAACTGAAAATTGTTCTTAGTCTTTGTAAAAGATACTTACTTGACTTTGGTTCTAATTATTATATGTTTAAAACAATAAGGCTAACTTTTAAGAAATGTATCTATTGGTCATACTTTTCCAATATTCAGGCTAGTGTTCCTTTTTCTTACCAAGGTTTCATTTTACTCCAAAGGTAAAATGTATTAGAAGGGTTCTTAAAGTCTGAATAACAGTACAAAAGGAAAATAAATAAACTGTACTTCCATTGTGATTCACTCTAAAATTCATCTCATGCCCTCTAGAGGAATTTCCTTTCCTCTAAGCCAATAAACTTCAATGACTTTTTTATCGTTGATCTATTTTCTCAAGCTAAACGTATTCACTCCATTATATAAACAGACAAAACAGGTGAATTCTGTAAGCCAAAGACTCTGTACAAAGTGCCAAGATGCATTCACATGTAGAGAAGAATGGGTTGTTGGGGGATCATGATACACAGGTGTACCCCAGTGCTCTTAAATGCTGCTCAAGCTACTATCCAGGACCCAGTGGGAGTGCTCATTCCAGAAGAACACTCAGGCAATTGTGCTGGGTTAAGGCTTCCAACCCCAGAAAGCTAAACTGTTGGTAAAGTTTTTTGCCAACCCTCTAGACTGCTTTAGCACCTTCTGCCTAATAATCATAATCATACCAGAGATTGATATTCTTCAGCTTTCTGAGAATCAAATATAAATTATAACATAGAATATACTGCTTAAGACGTTTAACTTTCAAAAACATTTTCTGAGATTGCATATTGAATCAAAGTAATGACTATCCACATCCTTATTTCACAACTCTAAATGGTTCCTGGTATTTTCATGCTACAAAGAAGAAAGTTGAGGCTCAGAGAGCCTAAGTTTTACAAAGTCACAGAGTATCAGTGAAAAGTGAAGAGCCAGTATCAGTGTGTATGATCCCAAATCCATGTCTTTCTGCTCCAACACACTGCCCCTCAAAGATGGCACAGTTTACCAACAGAGAGCTCACAGCCTAGGACTCTACACACTTAATAGGGCAGAAAGAAAAGGGTATAATGTTTTAGTATACATTGAGAACACAGTCATGTTTCTTGTGTAATAAAACAAAATGGATATTTTTAAAAGGAAAATGTAAGCATTACAAGCCAGGCAACCGTTAGATAAGAAAAAGGAATGACTTAGAAACGACATTTGGAAAAGATGATATTTTATGTGTTGAAAATAAATAAAACTTTGACATCCAGAATGGGACAGGACACTTCATGCAGGGAAAAGAACATGAACAAAGACATATAGAAAGGAAAACACAAAACATATATACAGAACAGCAAATAGTTCAGATCTGCTAACACAGTGTTTCCTACCTTTCCCTGATAAGAATTCCAAGGAATTCATTGAAAGTATAGCTTCCAAAAAAAAAAAAAAAAAAAAAAAAAAAGTATAGCTTCCCAGGCTCCTCCCTTGGAGATTCTAATTCCATAGGTCTGAGGAGGGTGTAGGGATTTAATTTTTAATTTTTAAAACAGTGTTGAACCTGACATTTCTGTGGTTTTTAAGTGGTATAAGAAGTATTTAACTAAAGGGCAGAGTTGGTAATGGGGAGTCACGGCCTTATTTCTATAGTTAACAAAAAGCAACGTGGTATCTTTTTTTTTTTAAGATTTTATTTATTTTATTATTTGACAGAGAGAGATCACAAGTAGGCAGAGAGGCAGGCAGAGAGAGAGGGGGAAGCAGGCTCCCTGCCAAGCAGGGCTCGATCCCAGGACCCCGAGATCATGACCCAAGCCGAAGGCAGAGGCTTAAACCCACTGAGCCACCCAGGCGCCCCGCAACTGTGATAGCTTAATGAGGTTTTAGGAAGACTGTTCTGATGGTAATGAGCGGAAGGGAAAGAAAAGCAAGGAGATGGGAGACAAGTCTGTAGACTAAAGCAGCAACCGAGGCTAGAAATAAAGGCCTGAATGAGGGTAGTAGCAAAATAAATTAAAAGGAAAAAATAGATTTGAGATATGTCATGGATGAAAAATTGGTAGGACAGTGCAACAAATTGGTTTTGCATAGAAAGAATAAGAAAAAAGTCAGGATCTAAAATTCTTCTCTAGAGAATACTGATACCAGGGAGTAGAAAACGAAGTCACAAAACAGAAAAGTCCGGGAAACGAAGATAATGAATTAAGCCTTGGCCAGGACTTGGGTTACTAGTGAGATATTTAAACATAGAGAGATGGCCAATAGGCAGCTGGAGAAAAGAAAAGTAAGCCAGCCTAGAGATAGAGATTTGAGAGTCAGAAGCAAACACTGTTTTTTAAAAGATTTTATTTATTTATGTGAGGTACAGCAAGAGTGGGGAGCAGGGGGAGCAGCAGGCAGAGAGAGAAGCAGACTCTCCACTGAATAGGGAGCCCGACATGGGGCTCGATAGCAAGACTCCAGGATCATGACCTGAGCCGAAGGCAGCCACTTCACCGACTGAGCCACTCAGGCGCCCCAGAAGCAAACATTTGATAACTTTATCACACAGCACAGTCAGATGAGGGAAATATGATGACACAGTACTAGGCTTATACTATTCCCATGATAATGGACTGTAGGTTGCAATTTTCTTGGCAAAAAGGAATGAATTTACTTAGTCTTTCCACTGTTCGGAGTGTTTTTCAGGTCTGAGGCAACATAAAGGGCAAGCCAATACCATGTGCAGTGGTATCCTTGCACATTTCAACCTTGCAGCAAACACCTATTGCTTTGGGGTTATCAAGTTCACTACAGTCAGTGTAAGTTAAACATTTTGTTTTACTTTGTATAATAGTAAGCAGCATAGTAACATATGCTTGAAACATTTAACACATACTGTTGTTACAATAGAAAAAATTCAAACTAACTTCCTAGCAAAGTTGATCTCAAAGTAAGGGTAAGCAAAACATACTTTCAACCAGAAAATTAATTCACAAAAAGACTAATAGAAAAACTCCTTTCTCCTACCCTTGTGCTTTCCTCGAGCTGCTCAGCCTAATATTCAGGCCTCTGTGTGAGTTAGGAAAGGGTAAGGAGCCGACTGCACTGAGCCGCCTTCCACCACAGAATGCCGCGGCGCTATATAGCTTATTTTCCCGCCAGTCTTCTAGACGGCTTGGGCTTAAACGAAGCAACTTCTGCAGCATTCAAGATCATATTAGAGACATAAATAACTATAGAAAGCTCATTTCGCAATTCTGATGGCACCACCTCCTAATTACATGGTCTTGCACAAGTGATTTAACCTTTCTCAGTATTGATTTCTTCCCTTACATAGGAGTACTAACATCTCTAGCATGTGGTTGTTATAGAGGTGACATAACATAAATATTTAACACAGGTAGCAGAGGAAAATAATTACAGTAGAACATATGCTTTGATGGCCACAGATCACCATGGGAAGAAGTTAAACTTAGCCTGGGTAGGAGATGGGTAGAGAAGGTGGAGGTAGTCCAGAGTTGATAGTGGAGCTAAATCATAAAGGAAAAACAAAAATTAACCAAATAAAGGAGAGCCTAACCCAAGCAAAAGGAAAAACAGGAGTGGGAGGATTGTGGGGAAGGCACTTGAACTTGACATCTTTAGAAAACATCAGTGAAAGGGACTCCTGGCAATTTCCAGATTTAACATTTGTCGTTTTGTCCATTTACAAATATACCCAGACGATCATGACATATAGTATATCTTTCATTTTAATAAGGCAGAAATTTGAATCATGAATAAGGCAAGACTAGTGCACTAACATCTAAAGAAGATAACTTCTGAGATATTGGGGTACCGGAATCATTGATAATGCTGAAGAGGTCTAGGGAAAGGAGGTTTTCATATAAAGATGAATTTAATTTTGACATCTAAAGTAGAGATGTTTCCTAAAGGAAATCAAGAATGTCAGATAAGAGGCCAGAAATAATATTTGTTCAGGTGTCCCAGAGTTCAGAATATTAGTATACAGGTGGAAGCTGAGAATCCATGGTATCAAATATATCACTCTGGAATACTGAAGACAGCAGGAAAAAATCATGACCAGAACGTTTCTTACACATGTCCATTTCAATTCAGTCTTAATGCAATGGGTAGAAGTAGTGTGCTTACTAAATGCCCAACATTAGCTTATCAAAACCATCCTCTATGATGAGGGAAGAACATGGATAAAGAATTAAACACAAGGGTAAATATAATGTGCTTTTAAGCTAGTGCTATTGTTAGTTTTGACTAGAAATAGGTAACTGTATTAAGCAAATAAGACAGGGCTAAGTTACAGAGTTTTAATTACTACAACAGAACTTTTAACCCTTTGGGTTTCTGTATTCACTAATTTTCTTTCTTTTTTTTAAACACTGCAGAAAGGTAATCTATTTATAGAAGAGTGATTTAAAGGCATTATGATTTTCTTTACAAACAGATGTAAGAACAGGAAAGTCCACTGTTTTTTTTTTTTTTTAAAGATTTCATTCATCACTTGGCAGAGAGACAGATTACAAGTAAGCAGACAGAGGGAGAGGGAGAAGCAGGCTTCCCACTGAGCAAGGAGCCCGATGCGGGGCTCAATCCCAGGACCCTGAGACCATGACCTGAGTCGAAGGCAGAGGCCTAACCCACTGAGCTACCCAGGCACCCCAGGAACTATCCACTTTTAAAAAAACTCTACATTCCAACCCTCCACTATTATTTATAATTAATTAATTTTTTTTGAGAGAGGGAGGAGGGGTAGGGCAGAGAGAGAGGCAGAGAGAGAATCTTCCAATGTAGGACTCAATCTCACGATGCTGAGATCAAGACTTAAACCGAAATCAAGAATCAGACCCTTAACCAACTGAGCCACTCAGGTGTCCCTCAACCCTCCACTATTATTATAATTCACTGAACTTCCTGTATCAAAGGCTACCCCACCCCCACCAGCCAGCCCCTTCCCTAGATTTGACTCTCCAAATTTCCATCTCTTCATCATCTGACGGAACACATACCAGAATCTTTGGGAGTAAAAATCCTTGAAGGTGATTTTCTTGGAGTGTATTTAACAGATTCACTATTCTAAATATTGTCAAGGCATAGGTGTTTCAGCAATGAGTATTGTGTCAAAAGTGATATTCAGGAAAACCACACTTAAAGGCCTAGTGGAAGCATTGGTGGGGTAAAAGACCAGGAGGGGATTTATAATCCAAATACATGTATCTTACATGGTTCAAATCCCAGCTCTAGCTATTTACTGGCTGTGTGACTGAGCAAATTACAACCTATTTATACCTTAATGTATTTTTGGGTAAAATGGGATAATGATAATACCTATCTTAAAGGGCTATGATGAAAATTAATGACATTAATGAATATATAGATAATATTAAAATGAATATAAAAGCTTTGGTCCATCACTATTATAATAACGATCATAATCATTATCATCTAGCAAAACACTTAAATAGCAATTAAAATCTGAATCACAAGGTTGAATCATTTTTTAACTCTAGTTCTGAATTTTAAAAAAATAGCTTGTTAAAAAACCCCACAAAACTCTAATTTCAAGAGGGCATATCAGCTTAGGAATTGCAAATATTACTGACAACAGATCATTTTACAAATCAGTTCAATGAACACTTTCTGACCATGTACAGTGGAAAACATGCTGTGCCATATATATAGCAGGAGATAGAAAAATGAATGAGATAGAGACCCTAATATCTTTCATAACTCAGAACAAAGGGATTAGAGTTTTACCTGACTAACTCGATTAACTTCCTCCTCTTCTTCTTCAGCTTCCTCTCCAAAAGAAAGTAAACTAAAATTTCTTATCAAAAAAAGAAAAAAACGAAAGAAGAATGAAAGAAAATTGAAAAAACTAAACAAAACTTATACTGTATTTTCAAGGCAATAAAATAGAATTTACAAGAACACATTTTAACTGTTCAGGAATACACAATATAACTTAGTATTCAGCAGAAATATATTAAGGATCTGTATTTTCAGCATAATGTTAAGGCATTGGCCTCAGACCAGAGAAATTCATATATTAGATGAAACTAATGACCAAAAATCCATCCTCAGCACTACCATTAAATATATTAAGTCAAGCATGACAGAAATAATTAAGCCTTTTATATTTATAAAAACTGGTTAGCAAAATGGGAGTTTTCCGAAAACCTAATAAATATATAGCCCTGAGAGCACTACAAATGGGAAGCAATTAATCTAGTGTCTTCCAAAATGTCATAATACTTTGAAATTGATAAGTTATACAATACTGTCAAATAAAAAAAATATAAGCAGTAAACGTAACAAAAAAATAGCCCATGGGGAAGAATAAACTGTTTGTTTTCTTTGAGCCTTCAAACTAAAGACAGCCCAAAGAAGATAAATAGCAAGTTATTAAAACTCTCTCTCAAATACTGAAAAAATAAAAGATTTGGCAACAAGAAGAATTTTTTATTTCAAAACCTAGATGCAATCAAAGACTACCATATCATTCCTAATATATTTGAAATGAATTAAAAACAAAAACAAAAACACCCAGCTTTTGGGCTAATGTCAAGATAAATAATAGTGATGAAATATTGTACCTAAATGTGGTGATGGTGACCTTTCACCCAGAGGTAAATTAGTCAAAAGAAATGAATCAAAAAATAGAAGAATATCAAATACACCGCCATATAAGAATTTATTTTGCCACAAGACATCAACTGCTTATTGAAGTGGCTCACATTTGACAGTTTATAAAAGCAGCTTAACTTCCTTATACTGTAGGGTATCATGGAAAAGAAACACATGTGATTGAATACCTATGCCACTGGGTGTTTTCAAATTCCCCTGCTCATTTTCTCTTCCTAACACCCAGATGTTGTAATTATAATTTCCATTTTACAGGATGGGGAAACTGAAGCTCAGAAATATGAACACACTTTGCTCTTATAAATGGTGTCAGGCAGGATTGTACCTGGAACTGTCTGAATCTAACAACTATGAATATACTAAAATCACTAATGTGGATGCTACACTTCACTAAAAGAGGAAGTTGAAATCTAACTCTCTGATACCTATTTTAATAAAATAGACAAAACTAGTAATATGAAAAATATTGTCCACAAAATACTGTAACTTACTTACTCCAAAAGAGGAGTGAAAAGTTAAATTATGTAACCATGCAATCATTATATCCTTCATACTTGACTTTCCAAATTCTTTACACGGAGCATATATTAGTTGAAAAACAAGTAAAAAAAAAAATTCTTAACTCATTTACATAAATAACTGCTATCGTGATCATAAATATTAATACAGATTTCATGCAGACATGTAACACAATACTTCTTTAGCTTGTTACATACAGTATTTTAATAAAAGAAATGCATATTTAGAAAAAAAAACCACCTCATAATTCAGATATCTCCCCAGTTGACACTGGCCTCTCCCTCACTAGTAAACAGTTGTTACAAAAGGAAATAAAATGAATGAATTTCTATTATTCTATTATTTCTGATTACTTTGTGCCTTTGGGCTTCAGTTTCTTTACTTCTTCCTCTGGTTTCTCTTTTTTTGGCTTTTTTATTTCTCTTGGAATGATGTCATCAAAAGGATTAAACAAAACCTATGGAAAAAAAATAGTTTGAAAACATTTTCCCATTTTTAAAAATTTCACAAAAAATTAAAACCAGTATTCAATTGTGTTAATATTAACTTCTGTATTTTTTGCTCACATAACTATTATAAGTCTAGTGATATATTTACTACATAAAGTACTTCCACTTACATGGCCTTGCTGGATTTTCCTGATAATCCTATGTGTAATTAGGTAAAAGGTATTTTATCCTGATTTCACAAAAGGGAAAAACATTCAATAAAACATAATACCTAGTAAGCAAGACAAGCTCAGAGAGTATGACCCCAAATCAAATGCTTCTAAGGACCTTCTTCCTCAATGAAGGATCACTCTAAAATTACCCAGGAAGGCACTTCATTGAGCTAAATAAGCCTAATTCTTCTAATTTTCCCTTATAAGTCAAGGTTTTCATATACTGGATTATCAGCTAAAGTTTCATCTTTGAAACCAAAACCTTCAATTAAAAAAAAAAATTCTTAAATCAGAAATTGTGCCTAAATTACAGAGACAAAATCCGAATTATGATGTTGATTTAGTATAAAGCCTTTACCCAACAGTATAAAAATACTAACAGGGCACCTGGTTGGCTCAGATGGTTAAGCATCTGCCTTCAGCTCAGGTCATGATCCCGGGATCCTGGGATCGAATCCTGCATCAGGCGCCCCTGCTCAGCGGGGAGACTGCTTCTCCCTCTGCCTCTCTTTCTTTCTGTCTGTCATGAATAAATAAATAAAACCCAAGAAAAAAATAATAAAAATTAAAAAATAAAATAAATAAAAATACTAACAGCCCGCTTCTCTTACGTGATAATTTAAGTGCTGTATCTTGGACATCATGCTCCTACCTCACAGCTTCTTATTCTGTGTGGATTACGTGGTCTTTCTTCCTCATCTACGTCAACTTCTGTCAACCGCAGCATGTTATACACTGTATCCCCTGTGACCTATCAAACAAGACAGAAAACCTAACTGTAAACTATTATATTCATTCTTTGAAATAAGAGAGGGCTTCTGAAAATACTTTTTCAATAATTAAGAGGAAATCTCGTATTTTTATATAGGAGCCTACGCATTAAATAATACAAATAAAGCAACTTCTTCTCAAGGGGAACAAGCATAAAGGGAGTTCAATCCCTCAATAACATTTTTAGAAAACTTCCAATATATATTTAACATCAGGTTTTATTAAAAGTGAAGATATGATGCCAAGTAACCTCATACTGAATGACAGCTTTTCATTTAAACAAAATAAACAAATTCAGATTTTAGAAGTGGGTGGAACGAGCAGATAACAATACCACCTGTAAGTGCTTAGCACACATTATCTTGTTATGTCTCCACAAATATCCTAACAGCAGGTACTGCCATTATCCTCCTTCTCTAGATAAGAAAACTGAGATTCAAAGAAGTTACAGAGCCGACAGTGATGGCCTTTCTGAATACTTATTACTATGCTACACTTTGTCTCTAATGTGAACGTTATATATTAGCAATTGTAAAAAGTGGCGCAGAACGACAGTCTAAATCTCACTTTATTATATGTATTGATTTTTTAAAAACGGTAGGAAGGAAAATCTACGAACATCAGACAACCTGTTATAGTGGTTCAAATGTGCATATTTTAACCTATGTTGTTAAGTTTTAAGCAACCAGATTGTATTGCATGTTTTCAGCATGAGTCCTTTCATTCAACATTTCTCAGGCGTTTTAAAATAATACCAATTTTCCAGTTGTGCTCAGTTTGTTTTTTCCCTTTCATCCTCACACAATCCAGTTTTGCCTAGGCTGTGGGGAAACCATTCCTACTGAACCAGTAGAGGGAGCTGATACACTAGTGATGTCTAACGTGCCTACGACTTAAAACGTGGAAATATGTTTTTTAGAAGGGAAAGTGAAAAAACAAAACCGTCAGAATCCCCTTTTAAAGAAAGATGTTAAATGTGAACAGGATTAAATAGGTACTACTCAAAGTAATATTTCAGGTAAAATGTTTTAATGTTAACACAACTTCCACTTTACACTTAAGAAATTCATCCTTGACAAAAATAAACTTTAAACTACTAAATGTTGTTACCTAGATTTCTAAAAACATAAAAACATTATCAGATGAGCAATATAGTAGCTAATATCATCAGTATGATTTTAGAAAAGAACATTTACAGTCATAATTAATGACTTATTTGAAACATACAAACAAAAATAAAGGTGGTCCCTGATAGTTCATTGTAAAAGGAATATATTCCATCATTTTTAGAAATAATAAATATCCCAGGGAATATTTTTATGAGGGCAGCTCCTAGATAAGTTGGTCATATTTATCAAAGAAGCTGAAGATAACTGGACACAAACCTTTCCAAAAATGGTATGTTTATTGTTGAGTTCATCTGCTCGACCCAGTGTAAAGAAAAACTGGCTGCCATTATCGTGAGGACCAGCATTTGCCATGGCAACCAGTCCTCTCCGATTAAAACGTAACCGGGAATGGAATTCATCCTGAAGCATTAAAAAAAAAAAAAAAAAAAAAAAAAAAAGTTTAGTGAATGACCTCAGTTAAAAGGTTCTTCCTACTCTGTTAACCAGGTTCTGTATAACTTCCAATCAAAAATGCTAAAGTTTTATTTGACTGATTTTCAAGTATAATCAAATCCAATACTTCCTATTCCTTCACTAACGTTAAACTTGACTTCACTAGCCTATAAGCATCTTCTAAATATCCTCAACCACAAATGTATCCTATTTTATGGGAAAGCTGCCTATTTACACAGAAGAAGGGCACTCAAAGGGGAAGGTATTTCTAAGTCATTCCTCTATTCCCAACCCTTAAAGTTATCTAACTTTTTAGAACCTTCTCTTTTTCTTTTCCAAAAACACTACCTTGGAGTCATTGTAGGGTCTTCAACTATTGCCCCTCCCCACTCCATTCTAAAGGTCTTGAAAAAATGGCTTTCTTCTTGTTTTTTAATTCAAGGAATCTACTTAATTGTGTTATGTGCTTTACTCTTTTTTAAACGTCTTTGTTGAGTCTTTTCTGAACTGGCACTGCTCCCATTTGCCAGTTTTCCAAAGAACCAGAGCAAGCCTCTCTAAAGTGGATTTCTTGCTATGGTAGGGCTACATAACATACATTATTAGTCTCTCAGTTAACAGAATTTCTATCCAGACCTGATACTAGACTCATTTATAATACAGGCGTATGATGTAATCAGTGCTTTTCAGAAAGAAAGTTATTTTTCCTTAATAAGTAATTGTCAAAGATTTGAGCACAAACTTGGGATGCCTGGGTGGTTCAGCCGGTTAAGCATCTGCCTTCGGCTCAGGTCATTATCCCAGAGTCCTGGGATCGAGTCCCACATCAGGCAACTAGCTCAGCAGTGAGCCTGATTCTCCCTCTACCTCTACCTGCCACTCTCCCTGCTCGTGCTCTCTCTCTGTGACAAATAAATAAATAAAATATTAAAAAACAAAACAAAAAAAAGTCATAACTCTTTCTACTGTATCAAAAGTGGCCTAATGGAAAAACTTAAGATAATGGTATTCCATAATAAGCAAAAATCTCAATTTAGAAAAGAATTATGAGAAAGTGCTATACTGTTACACTGAACAATAGAATAAAGGAATGCTTTCTACTAGATGGAAGCTCTAAAATCATGAGACAAGTCAATTTGGTAAAATGCAAAGTAGTTTTTTAGTTACATTTGAGACTTTTTTATTATAGTCATTCCTCATTTTCTAAGGCCATTATCATCTGGAAATTAAAGCAAACAGTTCAAGTATTTTTCTTAAGAATCACATAGTGACCCAGTAAAAAATTAAAAGAAACTCCAGACCCTCTATCTCATTCGTATAAACATGATGTCTTTAAAAATACTCATATTTTAAGAGCTACCGATGTTTACTCATACAAAGAACATGACATTGGTACCATCAGATTAATAAATAACCTAAATTGTAGTTTTTATTTGAACCCACTGTTATTAACTACAATGCTCTTTTTTTTTCTTTTTAGATCTGTGTAGGCAGTTAATAAATCACTGACCTATTCTTAATCAATACACTTTTTTCCTAATATTTTTTATGTTAATTCTTTCTTCTGTCCCCTTGTGATTTCCTGTTATGACATGTGTTTTAGGCTACAAACATCTGTTGTGCATAATTAAGAATGAGTTCTGCTTTGGACCTAATTGCGTCTCCCCAATTCATACAGTGAGGCTCTAACCCTCCGTGTGACTGTATGGGAGACAGGGCCTGCAAGGAGATAATGCTAAGTTAAGTGATGTTATAAGTGTAAAGCCCTAATCCAGGACTGCTAGTGCCCTTATAAAAAGAGGAAGAGACTCCAAAGTTCACTCTCTCTACCATGTGAAAACATAGCGAGGAGGTGGCCATCTGCAAGCCAGGAAGAGACCCTTCGCTAGAAACTGAATGCTAATAAGTTGACCCATACTTCCTAGCCTCCAGAACTGTAAGAAATAAATTGCTGTTGTTTAAGCAAACAACATGGGTTGTTTCAGCCAACCCATCAGTGGTATTTTATTATAATGGTCCAAACTGATTAATATAAATTCCATATAGTGTTAAATATTTTAAAATAGGATGGCATATGAAATGTTCTAAAAATCTTTTACATTTACAGAGTTTCAGAGATCAGATATTGTCAGATATCAAGAATTACATAATATAGGTTTTTTTCCTGCCTCACATTTTCCTCATGACCACAAGCAGGTATACCTGAATTCAACCTAGTGTAAAAGCTAGCAATAAGACAACTCAGAATGCTCGATAGGGGAAGTGCTGCTCTTATACCTGTATAATCCTAAACACGTGACAGGTACCAGATTTTGTGCACTAATGTGAAATGCATTTTTTTCATGTGGGGCACAGTCATTTTCAATTAAGCAATCCAAACTGATTTGCAAATAAATAACAATAAAAATTCAGTTTCACCTTGAATGGGGCTCCATAGATAGACTCTCCACCAGTCCCTGTGCCAGTAGGATCTCCCCCTTGGACTATAAAACCAGGTACAACTCTATGAAAAATGGTGTTGTCATAATATGCTGAAAGAAATTTAAAATAATTTAGCAAAGTCTAAAACGAAGTGTATAGCTTTGAGAGTTAATATTAGAGTCACAAGATTTTTTTCTCACACTATTAAATAGGCTCATAAATCAAACCCCTTCTTTCCTACTTACCATAAAATGTCTACTCAAAATAGTACAATTTCTACAAAAAAGCATGGTGGTTGTTGTATTGTAATTATTTCCAAGATTCTCTCCAACTCCAGATTACAGTTTATGTATAAATATATTTGGAAGCTATAAAAATACAAGAGGGATCATATATGATCTCTTAATAGTACTTATTATTTGGAACCTGAAGTCATTAAGGAGACTTCACCAAGAAAAAGAAGTGGTATGTGGCAGAAGCATGACATCTCTGTGAGGTAAATCCTGAGCCAAGAAGTTGGTGAGGGCAGAAGGGCAATATTTAGGGTTTGACAGAATCAGAGTTTAAAGTGGAAAACATATGAAGAATATATATGTAGCCCTGAAGGAAGTACTGAATAAACAAAACCTATTATTATTGTTGTAAAAGCAAACAAAAAACAAGTAGCAGCATAATAGATGGGAGATGGAGTTAATTCCCGAGTGTAGTCCTAGTTCAGTCATGTGTTTAGGATTGGAAAGCAGAAAGAGGGAGAATAGTTCTCTGAAAGCTTCACTGAGCTGCAGAACTGCCTGACACCAGATTTCTTGTCATTCATACAGGATTATAAACGTCTTTATTATGTAAATAATATTGAGTTGAGTCTTCTGTTATTTGCACCTAAACACAAGGTAACTCATTCAATGACAAATACAATCAAGTGTCTACTTTATGAGTCAAAGCAAGACTATGGTTTATCATAATTCATAAAGTACTATATAATACAGTGGCTTGTAGGCACCCTCATCATTATTTACATTTGCAAGATCTATCTGGACGTAGAATCCACACTTTAAAGCAATATTGGCAAGAGAGACTCAGTGCAAAGAAGTGCTCCTTGGTTACAAATAGAAACTGTAAAAATTGAATCTAAAAGTATCTCTCCTGTATTAAGTAACCATTTACTCAGAGTAGGTTAAAACTAGGCAGCATTCAGGAGTTCTGACTCTTGCATCTTGTTGACTGGGTAGCCTTAAACATAATTTTTTCCCACCATTTTTAAAAAATGGAGATATAATTGACATTTAACATTATAGTAGTTTCAGGTATACAACATAATGATTCAGTATTTATATATATTGTGCAGTGTTCACCACAGTAAGCCTAGTTAACAGCCAGCACCTCACAAAGTTACAAATTCCTTTTTCTTACGATGAGCACTTTTAAGATCTACTTTCTTACCAACTTCCATATATGCAATACAATATTATTAACTATCATCTACCATGATATACATATAATTTTCTCATTATTAACTGACTGAGCCACCCAGATACGCCCAAAATTTTTAATTATAAAATAAATAATTACTGGGGATCCAGTGTATAGCACGGAGGTTATAGTTAACAGTACTGTGTTGTATACTTGAAATTTGCGAAGAGAATAGATCTCAAGTGTTCTCACCACACACACACATTCACAAGGTAACTATGTGAAGTGATGGATATATTACTTAACTTGATAGTAATAATCATTTCACAATGTGTATGTGTCTTAAATCATCACACTGTACACTTTAAAAAGATTATGTTGTACATCCTAAATATATACAATTTTTATTTGTCTATAATACCTCAGTAAAGCTAAAAAAAAAAAAAACGACTAAAAACTTGCCTTTAACTGCCGTATCTATATCATGTTCCACCCTCCTGGTTTTTACTCATTTACTTTTTAATTCTGGAAATCATCCCTTGTTGAAGTAAATACTGATATGAATGTTCTAAGACCTAGAAATTTCATGACTTGTTTAAATCATAGAATTAGTTAATTAAAATGGGGTTCTCGATTTTAAAACCTTGACTTTATTTGGGAGTATTTTCATTTAAATTAATCTTCTCAGGTTTCTTCTTAGCCTCTGCAGTAATAATTCTATCTTTCACCTGTTCAACTTAAGAGAATTGCTCTGAGTTATTTTTCTTATGATTTTCCTATTCTTTTCTCTTTCTCCTTGTGTTCTTATAAATAGGGGAATAATTTTTTTGTTGTTTCAATTAAGTTCCACCATGACCTAACTTAACTTTATTTTTTCTTCACTATCATATTATATCCAGATGTTTTCTGTTTCTCCCATTCACCTGGTCATGGATTATTAATTACCATTCATTCTTTCTAATGTTTTTGTACTTTCACTCTTCCCCTATAAAATCTGAGCTTTTGAGTCTTCAAAACTTCTTTCCAGAAGCAAGTCTGACTTCTCTATGTCTACTGTGTTTCTTGGTTCTGTTGATAGTTATTTGAGGCTTCTCTGACTGTACTACCTGTCTGACTCAATTTCCTTCCTGCCTGCCATAGCAATTATTAATAATGGCCTTTGCAGATGTCTTTCCCTCTATTTTGGGGGGGCAGGTTTTTGGGGAAGTCTATTTATTTTTATATCTTAAATCCTCCCCTGGTAATTATCTATTTGTATAATTATTATCTATTTGGAGAGCTCTTTCTGTATCCTCCTACTGGTTATACTAAGTTCTCTTTCACACCTTGCTTTTGACTCAAAATGTTGTTTTCTGATACCTGATTAACCCTGTTTCTCTTTACCAATCAGATATAACTTAGAAAGATAATGATTTGCCACCACTGTAGATATCTGAAACCATATGCAATGTATTCCAAAAGCCAGTAAGTTACAAAAATGTTTAGAATGTTTAGTTCTACAGGAGAATATTCTGAAGGAGAAAACACTCAAGTGGATGTATAATTCTGTAAAGTTTATTGAAAGAAAAATAGTCACTTTGTGACTCGGTCTAAAATCATACTGGAAACATTGATAATGACATCACTGAATGTTGAATGGAAGGCTTCATTGAGAAGATGGAACCGTGGGCAGATAGTAAAAAGTGGGTAGACTTAAACAGTAAAGAAGGAAAGAAAAAGTATTCTGAAAGGAGACTGAGGATATGAAGCAAGGTATGAGGGTATGTGTGAAAGTGGAAGTGGGAAGGAAGTGCTCAGGAAATAAAAGTAATAGTCAGCTGAAGCCATATGGTTATTTATTGCAATGAAAAACAAGGCTGGAAGGCTAGAAAACCAAGCCGTCTGAGGATTTGGCTGCTAGATGAATAAAAAAAGAGGGTAAACAGATTAAAGATTACAGAGAGAAAGACCCAGGTAAAAGCCAATCACAATCAGCAGGTGAAAGTCAGGGCAATCTGGTTTAGTTATAGCTGACAGAGGAAGTGTAAAGTCCACTACTAAATTGGGAGTAAAGTCCACTTCGATATGTAAATTAGAGTAAAGAAGAGAGAAAATGGCTGGAATTCTAAATTTGACAGTTATTTGGATAGAAGTAACAACTGAAGAGTAAACCCAAGGCAATCTCAGGGAGTACCTTTATTTGGAGGATGAAAGAAAGAAGTGGGGAATAGACAAAGATAAAAAATGATCAAAGTTTTATTGGAGAGATAAATTTCTCTACTGAAGATACACAGATTTATTTGAAAGACAGTCTTTATCTCCTCCCTCTATTTCCTGACACAGTAGCTCAACACCATATCACTCATATCAACTCCTATCATTCATCACCACCATTTAACAGCAGGCCTCAATGTTGTGGAAAGATACACTTCAGTTTATTTTTAAATTAATAAAAAATTTCCTACAGAATAAAACTCAAGAGTTATGATTACCTTCCAAACAAAGCTGAATGAAATTTCTGCAAGCTTTAGGAGCTTCTTTTGACCACAACTCTATGTCAATATCTCCAGCTGTAGTTTTCAATAAAACCTGTAGAAAGAATATGACATCATTACATTAAATTATCATTTTAGCTTGATAATTAGTTGAAATGCTGCTCAATTTAAGGCATTCATTAATGAGTTTTCAATTTTAAAGTTAAAAACTTTGCTGGGCTTTTCTTGCTATACTAAAAATAAAAATACACTCAAAAAGTACAACAGGGAAAAGACAGTGTCTTCAACAAATGGTATTGGAAAAACTGGACAGCTATATGCAAAAAAATGAAACTGGACCACTTTTCTTATACCATACATAAAAATACACTTAAGATGGAATAGAAACTTAAATATGAGACCTGAAACCATAAAACTCCCAGAAAAAAAACCAGATAGCAATGTGACACTTGCCTTAGCAATGTTTTTGTAGACTTGTCTCTTCAGTTAATAACCAAAATACATAAAGAACTTATACAACCCAACACCCAAAAAAAAAAAAAAATTTTTTTTTTTCAATTAAAAATGGGTAGAAGAGGGACGCCTGGGTGGCTCAGTTGGTTAAGCAGCTGCCTTCGGCTCAGGTCATGATCCCAGCGTCCTGGGATCGAGTCCCACATCGGGCTCCTTGCTCGTCAGGGAGCCTGCTTCTCCCTCTGCCTCTGCCTGCCATTCTGTCTGCCTGTGCTCGCTCTCTCTCCCTCTCTCTCTCTGACAAATAAATAAATAAATAAATCTTAAAAAAAAAAAAATGGGTAGAGGAAAGAAAAAAAAAATGGGTAGAAGACCTGAATAGACATTGTTCCAAAGAAGACATACAGATGGCTAACAGACATAGGAAATCATGCTCAAATCAGCTAGCAATGCAAATACTCAAGGGAATGCAAGTCAAAACCACAATGAGATGTTACCTTACCCCTGTGAGAATGGCCAGAATCAAAAAGACAAGAAGAAATAAGTGTTGGCAAGGATGTAGAGAAAAAGGAACACTCATGCACTGTTGGTAGCAATGTAAACTGGTGTGGCCACTGTGGAAAGCAGTGCAGAGATTACTTAAAAAATTGAAAACAGGGGCGCCTGGGTGGCTCAGTGGGTTAAAGCCTCTGCCTTCGGCTCAGGTCATGATCCCAGGGTCCTGGAATCGAGCCCCACATCGGGCTCTCTGCTCCGCAGGGAGCCTGCTTCCCTTCCTCTCTCTGCCTGCCTCTCTGCCTACTTGTGATCTCTGTCAAGTAAATAAATAAAATCTTTTAAAAATAAATAAATAAATAAATAAATAAAATTGAAAACAGAATTACCATATGATCCAGTGATTCCACTACTGGGTATTTACCCTAAGAAAATAAAAACACTAATTTGAAAAGGTATTTGTACCCCTATGTTTACAGCAGCAGTATTTATAATAGCCAAGACATGGAAGCAACCCAAGTGTGCATCCATAGATGAATGGATAAATAAGTGGCATGGATGTCTGTGTGTGTGTGTGTGTGTGTGTATGTATATACATAAATATATATATTATATATATAAATCTGGTAGTAGAATATTAGTCATAAAAAAGAATGCAATACGGCTATTTGCAGCAGTATGGATAAAGACGGTATAATACTGCTAAGTCTGACACAATAATACAAATACCATATGTTCTCACACATATGTGGAATTTAAGAAACAAAACAAACAAAAACGTCAAAAAAAGCCCTCAAACCCTTAAATACTGAGAACAAAATGGTGGTTGTCAGAGTGGAAATAGGGGATGGTGAGACAGATAAAGGAGATTAGAGAGTACGTTTATTTTGATGAGCAGTGAATATTGTATAGAATTGTTGAATAATTCTACTGTTGAATCATTCCACCTCAAAATAATATAACACTGTATGTCAATTATACTTGAATAAAAAAATTCAATACAAGTCATTATAAATTTATATCATTCAAATACCATTTTCAGAAATAATGTAGGACTTAAGAAAAAAATAGCATATACCTTTTTAATCAGAAAAACTTACTCATTTAAAAAGCAATCATTTAAACTTGCTTTAATTAAGAAAGTTTGCAGCCTTTCTTCCAATAATATTGGCATAGCAAATTAAGAAATTAAAGAACAGGGGTGCCTGGGTGGGTCAGTGGGTTAAAGCCTCTGCCTTCAGCGCAGGTCATGATCCCAAGGTCCTGGGATGGAGCCCCACATTCAGGATGCCTGCTCAGCAGGGAGCCTGCTTCCTTCTCTCTCTCCTGCCTCTCTGCCTACTTGTGATCTCTGTCTGTCAAATAAATAAACAAAATCTCAAAAAAAAAAAAAGAAAGAAAGAAATTAAAGAACAATGAACCCATGAAACTGTGACACCATAAGACAATTTTACAATTATGTTTTTACATGTAAACATTCTACTTTCTCATTCAAAATCACGCCATTCCTGGAGTACCTGGATGGTTCAGTCTGTTAAGCATCTGACTCTTGATTTTTGGCTCAGGTCAAGACATCAAGGTCATCAGATTGAGCCTCATGCCAGGCTCCGTGGGGAGTCTACTTGAGATTCTCCCTCCCTCTGCCCACCCCCCTTCTCTCTCTCTCTCTCTCTCAAAAAAAAAAAAAAAAAAAAAAAAAAAATTCCTAATTTACAATGAAACATTCTTTTTAAAATTTTTTTTAGAAAGATTTATTTATTTGACAGAGAGAGAAATCACAAGTAGGCAGAGAGGCAGGCAGAGAGAGAGGGGGAAGCAGGCTCCCTGCTGAGCAGAGAGCCTGATGCTGGTCTTGATCCCAGAATCCTGCAATCATGACATGGGCTGAAGGCAGAGGCTTAACCCACTGAGCACCCAGGCACACCTACAATGAAACATTCTCCATCTAATTCTAGGTTGTATATTACTAAAATGGTATATCTCAAAATCACCATCTATAGTCAATGGAATCCTTTGATAGCCTCTTTTCTACCTGCTCATGAAGATAAGGACTTCTAACTTGGCTTGGCATGAAACAACGCCCAAAAGATCTATTCTGGAGGGGACCTGGGTGGCTCAGTAGGTTAGGTTTCTGCCTTCAGCTTAGGGCATGATCTTAGGGTTCTGGGATTGAGCCCTGGGTCAAGCTCCCTACTCAATAGGGAGTGTGCTTCTCCCTCTATCTCCCCTGGCTGGTGCACATGTGCATGCTCTCTCACTTTCTCTCAAATAAATAAATAAAATCTTAAAGAAAGAAGAAAAGAAGGAAGAAATGAAGGAAGGAAGGAAGAAAGAAAAGAAAAGAAATACTCTATTATGACAAATCAACCCAACTAGATTCTCAGATTCTTGGGAGGTATATTTTTGGGATGCAAAGTGAGTGACTAACTCCCTAGACTGTATCTAGAACACTGGGTAACACCTTCTGATTTTGAATGAAAACTGGTATATACCCCAATCCCAAAAATACAGTGTATCTAAAAAGACATATATTGTATACTTAAAATAAAATGTTACTGCTAAAGGGAACCTACACATGTCTTCTCTCCTTTCGAATTCTAATACAATGATTCCAACTTTTTCAAAGTATGCATCCGTATTAGCAAAGATGAGAAGGGAAGTGGGAAGGAGTTAAGGAATTGGGAGCACACAGTCCTCAAATATGTACTTTTTTTCCTATAGTATTTTAAGAGTCACAGAATATAAACATTTCAAAGGATTACATAAAAACAGTATTTTAGATAACTCTTAATCTTCTTTACTAGTGATATAATTTAACTTTTTAAAAAATAACAGCATTACTGAGATATAATTCACATACCAAACAAGTCACCCTTTTAAAGTGGTTTTTAGTACCATGACCACTACTTAATTCCAGAACATTTCATCACCCTCAAAAGAAACCCCGTCCCCATTAGCAGTCACTCCCTATTTCCTCTTACTCCTATCCCTTGGCAACCACTAATCTACTTTCTGTATCTATGGCTTTGCCTACTGAACATTTCATATAAATGGAATCATACAATATGTGGCGTTTTTTTTTTAAGATTTTATTTATTTATTTGACAGACAGAGATCACAAGTAGGCTGAGAGGCAGGCAGAGAGAGAGAGGAAGGAGTCAGGCTCCTTGCTGAACAAAAAGTCCGATGCAGGGCTCGATCCCAGGACCCTGGGATCATGACCTGAGCTGAAGGCAGAGGCTTTAACCTACTGAGAGAGAGCCTGCCTCTCTCCTTACTTGTGATCTCTGCCTGTCAAATAAATAAATTTTTTTTAAAAATCTTAAAAAAAAAAAAAGAAACCACTGCTCTAAAGAACGAGCTAATATACGTCATCCCTGCCTTTGTAGTGTGTGGAGTCAGGGTGCTCAAAGGACAATAGTGACCCTTCCACTTACAAAGGGTAAAGGAGCTTTGTTACTTTAGACATGATATCTAACATATCTGTGACCCAACTTCCTTATGTAAAAATAGGTATAATATTCTTATAGGTTTGTTGAGGACAAAATGATTTATTCTACATAGACTGCTTTGAACAGTACCTGACAAATAGTAAATGCTCAAAAAATAGTAGCTATTACTATTGTAATTATTATTCTTATATAATTTTCTCTGGCACAGTCAACTTACACCTAGTAAAAAGAATGCTTACACCCAGTAAAAAGCATCTGGCTTTGACTCGGGTCATGATCTCAGGGTCCTGGGATTGAGCCCTGGGCTCCCTGTTCAGCAGGGAATCTGCTTCTCCTTCTCCCCCTTGCACAAAAATAAACTCAAAATGGATGAAGGACAGGAATCCATCAAAATCCTAGAGGACAACACTGGTAACAACCTTTTCGACCTCGGCTGCAGCAACTTTTTGCTAGGCATTTCTGCAGAGGTTAGGGAGACAAAGGCAAAAATGAACTATTGGGACTTCATCAAGATAAAAAGCTTTTGCACAGCAAGGGAACAGTCAATAAAACTAAAAGGCAACCTATGGAATGGGAGAAGGTATTTGTAAATGTCTTATCAGATAAAGGGCTAGCATCCAAAATCTATAAAGAACTTATCAAACTAAACACCCAAAAAACAAAAAAATCCAATCATGAAATGGGCAGAAGACATGAACAGACAGTTACCCAAAGAAGACATACAAATGGCCAACAGACATAGAAAAAAGGTTCAACATCACTTGGCATTAGGGAAATACAAATCAAAACCACAATGAGATACTACCTCACACTGGTCAGAATGGCAAAAATTAACAACACAGGAAACAGCTGATGTTAGTGAGGATGTGGAGAAAAGGGAACTCTCACACCATTGATGGGAATGCAAACTGATATAGCTACTCTGGAAAACAGTATGGAGGTTCCTCAAAAGTTAAAAATTGAGCTATCCTAATGACCCAGCAACTGCAGTACTAGGTATTAATCCAAAGGATACACACATAAGTGATTCAAAATGGCACATGCACCCCAAGGTTAGCAGCGAAGTCCACAATAGCCCAAGTATGGAAAGAGCCCAGATGCCCATTGACAGATGAACAGATTAAAAAGATATGGCATATTTGTACAACGGAATAATACTCAGCCATCAAAAAGAATGAAATCTTGCCACTTGCAATGACATGGCTGGAACTAGAGGGTATTATGCTAAGTGAAATAAGTCAGTTGGAAAAAGACAAACACCATTTGATTTCATTCATATGTGGAATTTAAGAAACAAAACACATGAACATAGGGGAAGGGAAGAAAAATAAAATAAGATGAAAACAGAGAGGGAGGCAAACCATAGAAGATGCTGAGCTCTAGGAAATAAACTGAGGTTGCTGGAGGGGAGGTGAATCAGGGGAAGGGATAAGTGGGTGATGGGCATTAAGGAGGGCCCTTGACATAAGGAGCACTGCGTGTTATATGCAATTGATGAATCACTAAATTCTACTCCTAAAACTAATAATACAGTGTATGTTAACTAAATTGAATTTGTTTAAAAAGGCACATATCTCCTTTCTGCATACATTTGGTTGGCCAGCTCTACTTTGTGAAGTTTCAGTGGCTCCTTTTCCTGCAGCTCCTAAGATAATACTTTATGTTTCTTAATAAATATATATTAATATGCAATTTAAATTATGTGTTCATAGTATGTGGCAATTTCATCTTGAGTGTAAAAGGACATTTCTCAATGGTACTTTCTGTGCCTCATATTCATAGGCCTGAGTAACAGCAAAACACAGTACATTTGTAGACAATTGCTAGGGGTTCTACCACTGATATAACCGTGTCAATTACTTCTCAGTTGATACTATGCTCTTTGAAGGGGGGGAACTTTGTCCCATTTATTATGAGTATCCTTTATTCTTTTAGTACCTAATGTATCATTAGACAGCATAGGCACTAAACATCCACTGAGCAAACTTGTTTTTCTATCTCTTTAAATTCTTTCCAGGCCAGAGGCACCTGGGTGGCTCAGTGGGTTGGGCCTCCGCCTTCAGCTCAGGTTGTGGTCTCAAGGTCCTGGGATTAAGCCCCGAGTGCCCTGCATTGGGTTCTCTGCTAGGCGGGGAGCCTGCTTCCCCCTCTCTCTCTCTCTCTGCCTGCCTGTCTGCCTACCTGTGATCGCTGTCTGTCAATTAAATAAATAAAATCTTTAAATTCTTTCCAGGCCAAAATTCTTGCCACGTGCTCTCTATGATACAGAACTTTGAGGTTCAATGTCTTCAATTGGACTTACACTGGGAAAAAATCCCCAGTTGTTTCTGAAAGAAAACTTTGGCTAGGCTTAATATTCTCCATAAGCCCAATTCTGTTCCATAAGTACAGTGTTTAATTACAGTTGGCATGTACTTATTTGCATGACTATGTGGTGAATGTATATTTTACTTCACTGACTCCATGATAATAGGGACAATGCTGGTTTTTCTTTCCCTGTATCCCTAAATCCTAGCATAGAGGTGTCATGTGCTATATGCTCAATAAACATGTGCTGAATAAAAGATCTCCTGTTCAGTAATGTAGCTCTGTTAAAGCTTTTCCTCTTTATGATGACATCAAATCTTCCTCCAGAGTAAAGCAACTAAATCTTCCCTTGACCAGCAGCAGTATAACCTCAGACTCATTGATGCTTAATACTTTAAGAGAAATATGGTATTAATTCATACATTTATTCGTTCAATCAGTACATATCTGCACTCTTCCTACCATTTGTCAAGCATCATTCTAGAAGCTGATACCTACCATCAGAGTGCTTGCATTCTATGGGGAGAAGGGAAGGAAGAAGACACAATAAACAGTAACTAGTAAGTAGTTAGAAAAAACTTCAGAGGTAAAGGGAGAGAGGCAGGGAATGTTGAGAGGCAGGCAAGACATGAATGGGATTTCCTTCTGCTAAGGAGACATTTGAGCTGGCCAAAGAGTATACCAGAGAAAGGAATATTAAGTGTGAAGGCCCAGTCTAGAAGGATGGGCAATGTATTAATTCTCTACCAGTGTTTATCAACTGTGGGTGATATCAGCCTTAAAAAAACATTTGGAAATCTGAAAAGGGGTATTCTGAGTTTTCACAATAATGTGAGGTAGGGGTAAGGAGTAAGGAGAAGTTCAAACAACAAAGAATTAAAATAATTGCTCAGCTCAAAATACCCAGTGAAATTTTTGCTGGGGATATCAATTAGAGCATTATTGTTTTTGTTTTCAAATTGCCTCCATTATATTACAAAATGTCAACCAACAAAAAATTGCATGAACTATGATACAATCATGCAATAGAATTCCATCTAATGTAAATTTAGTTTATCCTAATACAACTATGTATTCTCAGCCACACTATTTTCTCCATTATGCTGGTTCATTGTCTTTCATATGTGATATAGACTAGTTCTCAGTTTAAGAATTCAGATGATACTTACTCCATTACTGACTCCTCTGCCTCATACTGCAGAAAAAAATCTTCAGATGGAATTGACATACCCTGACCATTTAAATCAATCAGAAAATCATTATCCCATTCTAATGTGGGAACATTTCCCATTCCCTACTTTTCCCGACAGTCATCTCATGTCTTAAGACCAGCTCAAGGGGTGCCTGGGTGGCTCAGTGGGTTAACCCTCTGCCTTCAGCTCAGGTCAGGATCTCAGGGTCCTTGGTCAAGCCCTGCATCAGGCTCTCTGCTTAAGGAGCCTACCCACCCCACCCCACCCCCGCCTGCCTCTCTGCCTCCTTGTGATCTCTTTCTGTCAAATAAATAAATAAAATCTTTAAAAAAAAAAGTTAAGATCAGCTCAAAAGATACCTCATCCACAAAGCTTTTCTCTTCCTTCCCAGTTGCTCACTTTTTAGTACTACCATAGCACTAGACTCCTCTCTCCTTAAGCATGCCTAGACATATCACAAGATTTTTCTTTACCTGCCTGCCTCCAGAGAAAATCATAAACTCTTCCAGGGCAACAACATTACCCAGCCATCTTTGTAGCCCCAGCAACTAGTACAGTGCCTGGTGCGACCAGGCGTTCCATAAGTAACTGTAAGATGAATGGAGAAAGTAATTTCCAAGTTAAGCAAAAAGAGAGGGGGGAAAAAAGTCGAAATTTACAATGTACCTAAGACCCTAGAAACGCCTGCCTCAGTTAGGCTGAAGCAAGAAATAGGACCAGAAGGCTGGTAGATGGAGATATCTGCCTTTGAGGACTTTTTCAAAGTGTTTGCAGAGAGGTGTTAACAGATGGTTTTCTATGCAGTCCTGTTCAGAGGCAGGAGTACGGGACATGACTTCTTGGGATCTTTTCCAATCCTAAGACACCAGAGCTCCCTTAGTCGGTGCGGTATCACTTCGAGGAGCCCAGGTTCCCTAGATGAGGCGCTCACCTTCCCGTTCGTGGGAGGTTCCTGGATGTAGATGTTGCTCATGCTGGTCAGTGCTCAGGACTCGGCTTCTAATTGGGAATAAGAACGGAGGGCCGATCTCTAAAGCTGTCCACCTATCAGTGAACGCTTCCTTCAGTCGGATGGTCGCGGAAAGCTCCAGTTTGTCAATGTCGCCAAGACAGCGAAACCAAGCACTACCTTTACCCCAAACTAGTTCCTCACGGACGCCGCCATGTCGCCCCCGGACCAGAGCACCGCTAATCCTGAAAAGGGGGGTTCCGATGGGCTCCAGGGAAGCAGAAAAAATAATTAAGAACCCACAGATTAACTTAATTTGTGTTACAATTTTTAAATGCAATCTATAAATTTTGGTGTTGTTTGCCTCATTACGCGTATGGGCAGGTCTCACTCACGGCCCCCCCCCCGAAGCTGGCAGCAATGGTTCGGACCATGTGTGTTCTGTAATATACCTCCCCCGGAAACTGAATCAACGCGACTTGGTTCCGCTATCTCCGGAGGCCTTCCTGGACAGTCACCGAGGTACCGCGGCGCCGGTGGGAGGAAGAGGCCGCCCTCGCCATTTGTTGTCTTCGCTGCAGGCGTAAGGCGGGTGTCCTCTCGAAAGCCTACGGCTCCTGCGACCCCTCTTACCAGCGCCATGGCAGTCCCAGGTGAAGACCGACGCCAGGGCCCATAGGTCTAGGCGAGGAAGGGAGCGGGTAGGGTAGGTTGGGTGCGCTGGGCTGGGGAGTAGCGCCCATGGGGATGGAGGCGGGGGCGTTAAAATGAACAGGCTCGTTTGGTCTCCATGAAAAAGTGTACACTCCACAAATGATCTCTGGAGGGAAGAAGGAACGACAGAAACTATCTCCCCCACCCCAGCCGAGCTCCCGCGGCGCCGCCTGGATTACAGGGAAAGTGTGTCGTGGGGGGAGGAGGCCGGGAACTGTAGGCCTAGGGGGCGAGGAGCCCAGAAACACGCACTTCACTTCGGTTTGGCTTGAAAATAAAATTCAGGTGGCAACACTTGACGGACCCGAGCAGCCAGAGGCATTGTTTGTCGTGGAAGTCGGAGGGACGAAACTGACGTCTGGGTTCCTTCTCTCTCTTCCTATTGTACGGAGTTCCTGTGCGGCAGTGGACCGGTCGCTGTCCCCCGCTGGGCCTCTCTTTGTGCGTCTGCGGTTTCTTCCCGCTCTCAGGTTCTGTGTCCAGTGGGTACCGACCTACAAACAGTGAACCCTACGAAATAAGTGCTTCAGAGATTGCCGAGCCACAACTACCAGCTTACTCGGACGTTCTGGTCGGGGAGGGCATCTGCTTAAACCAGGTTTGCTGCGATGTCTCTTGAAGAACCCTGGTTGCAGAAGTTATTTCGAGAATTGTATCTCTCCCCACCCCCCATTCCTCCAGCCCCAAACACACAGCTTGGAGATGCACAATGCTCCTTAGTATAGGATAGACTCAGAAATGTTACGGTTCAGAAGCCCGAACTCCATTTTAACCTACCCTTCCCAGTCTTATTTAAGCATGTTTGTACCGTGGCAGCCTTTTCTGAACCATATTTTACGGATCACTGTTTCAGGAATAATGCTCTTGTCTAACAACTGCAGTTTTGGGAGGAGGGGGAATTATGAAAGAGGAAGGATACACTCATTCATACACAGAACTATCTGTATTGCCACGTGCTAGGTAATTTCCTAGGCAATGGGAATACAGTGGTGAACAAGACAGTTGCAATTCACACAGAACTTAGAATGTAGCAATGGGGAGGAAGGACCAAAAAGACATGTATGGCAGGGAAAATTTGAAGTCTTCAAGAGCGCATAGTAAGGGCACCTCACAGAAGACTAGAGGGGCTAGGAAAATGGACTTCCTAGAGGACGTGGCATTTAGGATGAATCTTGAAGAATTCCAGGAGGGTTGGAGTGGTGAGAGAGGAAGTTGCAGCCAGTGGGACTGGATATATAAAGGAGGAGGAAATGTGTGAGAAGAGGAAGTAAAAGAAGTAAAAGATACTCCCTATAAATGGAACTCAAAATACAATTGGAAGAGAAGTGAGAAATTAACTAGAGAGCTAATAACAGCTAATAGTTACTAATGTATCAGATGTGTAAATAGTGTTTACTATGTGTCAGATGTGTCACACAGTGTGTCAAGCATTGTATTTTATCTCATTTAACGTCTGTAAGTAACGTACTGTAAGATGAGTATGAATACTTCAATTTTATATGAGCATACTGAGGGATAAACAAAGTTACTTGCTAATTAGGGGATAGCTAGCAAGTGACAGGTCATGGGGGCTCTTCTAGTCCCCATGCACTTATTCATCTTGTTGTGTTATAGTATAACTTACAAAGTAGTTCCCACCTCTTAAAGGACCTTGTAAGCTATGACAAATATTTTGGATATTTTCCTAAGGACTAAAGGAAGCCATTTAAGAGTTTTAAGAGATTCATATTTTGGAAAGATCATTCTGGCTGGACAATAGATTGGAAGGGAGCTAGTTTGGAGACAAGGTCACTGATTAGGAGTAATTTCTGGTAAGTTATGATGATGCTTCAGGTGTGGTATCAGGAAAGGAGAGAAACACATGGATTGGAGATACATTTTTGATGGTAGACTCACTAGGAATCAGTGACTGACTCGGTGTAGGTGGGTAAGACAGGAAGTGGGGTATACAAAGGTTTCATTGTTACACAGTTGGGTGGGGCCATTTTCTACTATAGGTAAAACCTGAGAAGGAGCAGGTTTTAGGGGGATGATGAGAATTTCAGTTTAGGGTTTGTGTTGAGGTATAGTCAGACATATGAATGAAGCTATCTAATAGGTAGTAAGAGAGAAAATTTGTGGCTTAGGAAAGAAGCCAGAGTCAAAGACCACAGTTTGAGTCATCCACAGGTATAATAGGAGTTGAGACCATTGTAATGGCTGCCTGTGCTCAGTTGGAGTGTGTAGAGACTGAAGAAAGGGTCTGTGGCTGCAGCCTGGAGCTTATCAACATGTAAGGAGCTAGCAGAGGAAGGCTGGTCTGCGTGGTAGGTTGCCTAGGCGTCGTGAGCCTTCACATCAGCCCTCCATGATTCTTGTATTGCACCACTACAACTAGAGTTGAGTTGCTGTCATTCCTAAATGGTTGGTTTTATTACTTGAGCAAGCGTTTTTGAGCACCTACATGGTCTAGACCCTCTAGGGCACACAATATCACAGCTTGTGTTCTCAAACAGGTCTAGCAATGAAAGCGGGGTGCTTAAGAAAGAAGAAGAAAAGTGACTTTTTTTTTTTTAAAAACATCCTTATTGGAATTTTCTTAAACTTAGACCAGTGTTATAGATATGTTAACCTTCTTCCAATTCAAAATAATGGTCCAAAGTGTAATAATCTTAAATTGTGCCATTAAGCTAGATGGCAAGACATGGATAGACTGTTTAAACCCAGCAAAAATGGAGATAATAATTATGACAGCACTGTAAGAGTACAATGCAAGTACCATTAGGAAATAGAGTTACAGAAAATGTTGAGATAATTTCCTGCGTGATCGATCCAGGTAGTAGACTAAAGAAAAATAGGGCTCCACGAGAAACCTTTTGAAATAATTATTGAGAAGGCCAAGTATTATGTTATGCTCTTTTATTTTTAGGTATAATGCTCATATGGATTCAGCATGGCGTTTCTTGGGTTGTCTTGCTAGTGATTATTATGATAAGACTAAAAGTGACAAGGATGCTTTCCACAAGTGAAAATCAGCCTCTTTTGTTTTATGCTCACCTACTTCAGCTGTTTTTCCACAGCATTATGTGTAAACATACACCATTATGTAGGCAACACAATGAAATGTGTACTTTCTTAGGGAAATCGTAGACTTTTACTTGTTATTTTAAAAATGACATTTAAGGGCACCTGGGTGGCTCAGTTGGTTAAGTATCTGACTTCTGCGCAGGTCATGATGGGTTAGGGTCCTGGGATGGAGCCCCACATAGGGCTCCTTGCTCAGCGGGAAGTCTGCTTCCCTGTTCGTGCTCACTCTCTCCCTCCCTCTCTCTCAAAATAAAGATATAAAGATCTTTTAAAAAATAATAAAAATGAGCTTTAAATACAGATTTCAGTGAAGTTGACTTTCTTTTAGAAACTACTTTGCCCATTCAAGTTGTTAAAATTAGTTCTGAGATTCATGTTAATGATTCACCGTTCCCCATGAAGAGTCTACCTAACACCAGTGTCAGTGAATGTTACCCATGTGGCTGGCACAAAAACTTTCTCTCATTCAGTAAAATCTATATAGCCAAGATAGGGAATTTTCTGTAGCCAAAATAACATTACATCTGGCATATGAAAGTGAGTCAATTTTTAAAACACATCACTGTAACTTCTTTGTAATAGAAGTACTCTAAATTACAATGTATCCAATTGCTTTTCATTCCTAAACTGTACATAATTTCTTTTCTCTAGTCTGTGCTGCACATGGCTGCTGAAGTAATTTTCTTAACTATATATCTGATCCTGTCATTCCTGGGGTGGGGTGGGTGGCGGGTGGTAAGAAGTTAGTTCTTTTTTTTTTTTTTTTTAAAGATTTTATTTATTTATTTGTCAGAGTGAGCACAGGTAGACAGAGTGGCAGGCAGAGGCAGATGGAGAAGCAGGCTCCCGCTGAGCCAGGAGCCCGATGCGGGACTCAATCCCAGGACACCGGGATCATGACCTGAGCCGAAGGCAGCAGCCCAACCAACTGAGCCACCCAGGCGTCCCAAGAAGTTAGTTCTTGGCTCCTATCTGTGAATTTCATATTTCTCTATCTCCCAGATCAAGATTTTAAATATTTCCATCACCATAGGAAGGCGTTGTTTGTCATTTCCCCCTTCCCTTGCCTAAATAACAGTTTTATTTCAATTGTCCTTTTTAATTTTTTTATTTTATTATTATTAGTTTTATTATTTTAGATTTTATTTATTTACTTAGAGAGAGAGCATGAAGGGGAGAGTGTCAGAGGGAGAAGCAGACTCCCTGCTGAGCAGGGACCCTGATTCAGGACTCGATCCTGGGACTCCAGAATCATGACCTGAGCCGAAGGCAGTCACTTAACCAACTGAGCCACCCAGGCACCCCCTTTTCTTTTTTAATTGTCCTTCTTTTGTAACTGTTCTTCCAGTGCCTATCTTCCTCAGATGGGCCAGTGACACTGCAGACACAAGTTTCACAGCTAGCAACTGGAAGCTGCATGCATTACTGATTCCCAAGTGCTAAGTATTAA